CTCTCTCTCTCTCTCACTCCCTCGCTCTGTCACTCTCTCTCTCGCACTCTCACTCTCTCTCACTATCTCTCTCGCCCTCTCACTATCCCTCTCAATCTCTCTCTCTCGCTCTTTCACTCTCTCTCTCGCTCTCTCACTCTCTCTATCGCTCTCTCTCTCTCTTGCTCTCTCTCGCTCTCACTCTCTCACTATCTCACTCCCTCGCATTCTCTCTCTCGCTCTCTCACTATCTCTCTCGCTCTCTCACTCTCTCTCTTGTTTCCTCGCTCTCTTACTCTCTCTCTCGCTCTCTCACTAGCTCTCTCGCTCTCTCACTCTCTCGCTCTCTCTTTCTCTCTCTTGCTTCCTTGCTCTCTCACTCTCTCTCTCTCACTCCCTCACTCTCTCTCCAACTCTCTCTTTCGCTCCCTCGCGCTCGCTCTTTCTCTCTCTCTCTCTCTCTCTCTCTCTCTCTCTCTCTCTCTCCTTCCCTCCCTCCCTCAAAAGATGTCAACAACTACAAAAACGAGCCGCGAGGCTCGAAGAATCGCGTCTCATAATCCCCTGAAATACATTTTCAATTCCAACTCCGCGACACTCGTAAAAAAATCACTGTATCTATACCTAAATAAACTTCAGACCACCTCCAGGCTAATCCAGCTAAACTCCATGGTAAAACAGAAAGACCTAGGGAGCAAAGTTTAACGTTTCGTTTCCGCCTGCAGGTACCGTGCCGAACATCTCTAGGAACGCGATCGTGAACGTGGCGGAGATCGTTTGCTACGACATCATCAAGGACTTCATCCTGGAGTCCGGCTATCTTCGCGACGGTATACCCTGCCACGTGACGGCCGCCGTAGCAGCAGGACTGTGCACCACGCTGGCAGCGAGTCCTGTCGACGTGGTGAAGACGCGTTACATGAACAGCGCCCCTGGCGAGTACAAGGGCGTCAAGGACTGCGCCGTCCGTATGTTCATGAAAGAGGGCCCGTCCGCTTTCTACAAGGGTTTCGTGCCGAGCTTCACCCGCCTCGTCTCCTGGAACATCATTCTCTGGATCACCTACGAACAGTTCAAGATCCACCTTGCCAAGAAGATGAACAACAACAATAACCTGTGAACGCGACAAGATCACGATAACAAATCGATCGTTCACACGGAATATCGAACCGCAGCTTCATCATCTGTACTCGAACCGTGTAGCTTAGGGATGGGAGGAGCGACCCCGAGCATCGTTTTGTCTCCTCCCCAGTAGAATCCAATTGTCTGTCGTCGTTCGCTGTTCGATCGTCTTCGTATCGCCTTCGTCGTCCAACGTTCTCGTTCGTTTAAACCAGTTAGCTGTGTAGTTTTATTTGATAAAATTAACCATTTCATTACTAATGTTTACTTGTTCGCTCAACATTAACATATACTACGTATATAATAGACGAAAAACGCGGGAAAAATCAAATACTTATAACAGTTAAAAATTCAAATTGCTGCTGTATAGTGGAATTCAGCAAAGCAAGGTACAACACGCAATGGTACTTCGCACATCGAACACCAATATCGTGAATTATTCACATAATTATTATTATACTTTTTATTTGTTTGTTTTATTCTGGCACTGGCCTCAAAGTATTCTAAACATCTTGAAATTAGAAAATATGTTTTTGTTTTCACCAAAATTACAATTTAAATAGCCAATGGTCGCTACCTTTTTACGCACGACGAATATACTCGTCGAGACACGAAATAATGCCACTTCTCCACGACGAGTAAACTCGTCAAACTCGTCAAATACAGCTAACTGGTTAAACATTATCGCCGTCCGATCGCTTCGCGATCGAATCGAGCGTTCGTTTCTTCAAAGATTCTTCGGATCTCTCGAGAGATCCGAACAGAATGGCGTCATGGTTGCAAGATACATAATCGCACACGCGAGGTTTCTTCGCATTGTTACGGGCACTTTGTTCGCGCAGCATCGAATCGCACCGTTTAACAGTATTTTAGTTTGTACGCAAGGAAACAGTATACCACTGCATGATTAATTAACGTTTGTTCGATCGTTGGTCAACGAAGGTACGGACGAGGCTTTATTAAACCGTTCACACGATCTTAGACCTAGTCGGTTCTCTTTTTGTTCGTCGTCGCGGGGTCCACGCGCGAGATAGTCCAGCGACGGCAGCCAATTCCTCCCATCCGTCGTTGTGTGCTCTTTACTTTCTTGTCCGTAGACGCGAACGCGCGCGCACTCGATACATTTCCGATCAAGAACGACGTCGATCGATCGACGGGAAATCGGGCAAAACTATTCGGGCACACACTGTTCCGACTACAGTAATGTCTCCCTAACTGACGCGCAGATTGTCCACAAAAATGGACAATTTGGGAAGAGGAGACACTATAGTATATACTATACTATATAAGACGAGATATTCGAGCCTTGCAGCTCGTTTTTCATAGTTGTTGACAATTCGTAACTATAAAAACGAATCGCAAGGCTATCGAATAATCGTATCTTCTCTTCCCAAATTGTCCATTTCTGTGAACAATCTAAGCGTCAATTAGGGAGACATTACTCTACATACATACGGTAATGTCTCCCATGCTGACGCTCTGATTATGCACAAGAATGAACAGTTTGTGAAGAGGAGACGCGATTATTCGAGCCTCACAACTCGTCTTTATAGTCGTTGACAATTGATAAACATAAAAAACGAGCCACGAGGCTCAAACAATCGTATCTTCTCTTCCAAAATCGTCCACATTCGTGGACAATCCGAGCGTCGATTAGAGAGGCATTACTCTACATACATACGGTAATGTCTCCCATACTGACGCTCTGATTATGCACAAGAATGAACAGTTTGGGAAGAGGAGACGCGATTATTCGAGCTTCGCAACTCGTCTTTATAGTCGTTGACAATCGATAAACATAAAAAACGAGCCACGAGGCTCTCCTCTTCCAAAATCGTCCACATTCGTGGACAATCCGAGCGTCGATTAGAGAAACATTACTGTACTTGGCCGCACCGAATCGATTTGCTTCTTCCGGCTCGCAGAAGACTCGTTAATTGTCATGGATATCCAATGGTGGAACGTTGCTTCGAACAAAATTTCTCGAGACAGAGTGCACGCGCGATCGGCGAGTATCTTAGAAGCCTCTCGGTAATTCATAACGAAACGTTTTCGGCTACGTAATTCAATGTTAGGGAGAGGGCGAAAGAAAAAGAGAGAGAGAGAGAGAGAGAGAGAGAGAGAGAATAGAACGCTAGAGATCCGACGAAAAAATGGAAATCGAAAAGGGACAGAACAGTTTCTTATCGGATAGTTATATTATTAAGGACGATATACAAGACAGACAATAAGAATGCAACATTCGTCACGACAATGTTGATTAACGGGGGTCTGTTGAGGAACATACAACGGCTACGATCGCGTTCCCCGGTTTCCCCCTTCATAGACCTCGATAAAATTCTCCGTGGTCGTCGTAGCCGCCGAGCTAAACGAGGATCATCCTTCGCCGATTAGAATAAATTCGTTAAGTTACGCGGGAACGTCGCGAATACAATCGGTTTCTCTGTCGCAGGATAAATCGTTCGCAGTCGTTCGTTTTTCTCGGGTCAATTAACAGGGCACAATTTTTATCGAGTAATCCGTTCTTTAGCCCTACTACTGTGTTCAGAAGTAATAATTGCTATAACTATGCGTTGGAAGTAATAAATTTCGAATGTTCATTGATACCCTGCGGTCTTTCATTGCAACACCAAAAAGATCGAAATCAAGTCGTATGGCCCGATTATGGTCGCCTCTGTTCTTCCTAAGTTAAATTATGTATCGTCGAGTGCACTCCGCAGCTTTTGATTCCCATCAGAAACTATAGATTCCGGAGATATTTTAATTTGCCTTAAAAGTGTCTTCGGAATTATCGATTCAGCGTTGGTCCTTTTCTTTAAAGAATAGCGCGTGCTATGTTTACGAATAATGGAGCACAGTACGAGGGTTAGGGCTACACGATCGACGCACGTTTCACACCGAATAACAGTTTTTATCTTGCCAAGCCGACGGAGTCGTTTGTTAATTCCTAATCGGACATTGCGCTCCTCGACCGCCTCGCTTTCTTAATCTCGTTCCGAAAAGCTGATTCCGCGATCCTCGCGAAAACCCATGACTCGGACGCTGCTCGTTAACGGGTGTAACCCGACAAACTGTTTTATCGGTCCTCGTAGACGATCTCAACTGCCTCCAGATTTCTCAACAGACAACTCTGCACACGATGACGATGCGCCTCCAGAAGAATATTACTTACCGTAACGTTTCCTCGCTGCGCGGTTACGCTTTGAGCAGAAACTCGTCGACAAACCCCACGCAAAGTGCCAAGAGAACACTTTGCTTATCCGTAGTCTCGCGTTTCCATTTTGACTGTCCGCCAAAAAAAAAAGAAAAAAAAGAAAAGCTTCGAATCGCTCCGACAATTCGAACAAATTCGATTCGCGAACGCTGGTAACTCCGGCAATAAAAGTTAGCCACGGAAAGACAGCGATTCGAAAGATTTGGCTGTTAATAACGTATACTCAGCAGACTCGTTAAAAACATTAACCAGCGATTTTACCATTTTTTAGGTGATAGACTGCCGGACCAATTATCTTTGAGCGCGCCGCGAGGGTCGAATTAATAGACCGACTGAATATTTGTACTTTACACGTTTTTAACGTTGAAACAGAAACCGTTTTACGCGCGCCCTTTTTATTGTCACCAACGGCAAAGACCGTTCGTGGCTCGATCGCGTGTATGTCCACGGATTCGTTATTCTCGATCAACCCTTAGCGTTCCACGCGTTTCTCGAGTACAGTAATGTCTCTCTTACTGACGCTCAGGTTGTGCACAAAAATGGAGCGTGGGAAGAAATGGGAAATGGAGCCCTTTGGGAAGAGGAGATGCGATTATTCAAGCCCTGCAGCTCGTCCTTACAATTGTTGTCGATTCGTAACTATAAAAACGAACCGCAAGGCTCCAATAATCGTATCTCCTCTCCCCGAATTGTCCATGTTTGTGGTCAATGTTTGAGCGCCAATTAGAGAGACATTACTGTACTACCTACCAGCAACTCCGGCACATTTTTGGAGCAAAGTGCCCGAGATAAAGGAAGTCTTATTTCGAGCGGAAAAGATTACACGTCCTTGCGAAAGCGTTCGATTGTTATTCATTTTATGTTGCTAAGTATAAAAATGGGCAAAAAAATGTTTTAATCGCAATGGTACACACGCTAAGCACGTTTTCGCTACAAATAACAATTGCCAACGTCGACAAGAACACAGCATCTTCGGTGTAATCATGCTAAAATCATTGGGCTCCGCAGCAGAGCCTTCGGATTTACGGAACAAACGACGGATGTCTCCATAGCGGAGCCAACGGAGCGCTAAAGGGTTAATCGATCCGTATGGCGTTTCGAACGCCGGCCGGAACACCTGCGTTTCGAACGTCGATCGGAACACCTGCGCGTCTCTATTTCGGTCCGCCTTTTTAACTCGGGTTGTACGTTCGCTGTGTTTCATTATACCGAATTATCTCGGACTATGTACTGCTACCAAGGGCACATAGGTTCGCCGCACACGGGTTCTCGGTATTTTCGTTTAAATTTCTCGCGGTTCCGTCACGCTCAAATTCAATGGAAAAAAGAAATTCCGTTTCCGCGACTCGACGAAGGAGATGTTTAATTAAAAGCGTCTGTATAGCAACTGGGCTTCGGTTCTAGGTAGGATAATTGTCTCCGGTAGGAACTAGCTTGACATTTGTTACGAGTTTTAAATAAAAATTCATTAAAGTGTACAGAATATACCCGCAGCAGTTTTATTTCGAGACAGCCTGTACAGCGTTCATGGGAGAACGAACCTTACAAGACCATGACCACCGTCAAGGTCTCGACACCGCTACGTCTCGCAGTCAGACTCCTCCAGCTCGCAGCTGGACGACAAGTCGCCTTCCATACACCCTAATTCCTCGGGAATGCCTTCTCCCATTGGGATCCTAGAACGAGGATCAAAATATCAGAGCCACTTTGGAGCCCGCTGGAATATTAATGGGCCCCTTCTCGCGCAAAATATTACGTTGGGGAATAAGTTCGTAGCGTTTTTATATTTTCTTTTATTTTACAACGATTTTTTGCTGTTCGACAAAGTGTATAAATATTCATTCGATAGAGCTCTTTCTGCTCTACAAAACTGTGCTAATCCTCTTTTTGAGTAATTTAATTTTTTATTACTTTCGAGGCTTAGAAATGTAATATCCAGGAGGTAAAGAGCAACATTTTCGACACCTTCTCTTCTTCGCTTTTCATCGAGGCGAAAAAGCTGCCGAAGCAGCCCGGGACATTTGCAACGTATACGGAGAAGGTGTCATAGGCGAGTCTACAGCACGGAAATGGTTTGCGAAGTTCAAAAATGGCGATTTTGACGTCGACGACACGTCCCGCAGCGGAAGACCTTCTGAACTCGACGAAGAGCGTCTCGAAGCACTTTTGAAGGAGGACGGTCGCCGAACGAGTCGTGAATTGGCCGAAAGAATGAACTGCGATCATAAAACGATTCTCAATCATCCTCATTCAATGGGATTCGCCGAAAAATTGGGAGCCTGGGTGCCTCACGAGCTTAACGAAAACAACAAAGAAAATCGCCTTCAAATTGCTTGATAAAAACGCTACGAACTTATTCTCCAACCCAATAGAATAAGATCAGAGAGTCTAACGAGCTAACTTTGCATCGTTGGTTTATTGTTTTGTAGAACAGCTGAAAAATCATGCGAAGGTGTCACACAGTAACCAGGTAGATTGCGGATCTTCGCGCAAACTGGAAAATTTTCTCAGCACCGCCTGTAAATATCTTGTTCTTTAGAAATGTAAACTAGTCTACGCTAGTCCGGTCGCTTCGAGTGCTTATCGAGCAGCGTAAAATCCGCAGCCTAGCGAATATTAAACGAACTCGCGCGAGTACATGCCATCGGAATGTTGCCGGGAGGATGTTAAATACGTCATTGGTTGTCGGCGAATGAATTATCCGGGGATACGGGCTCTCGCGTGCGGTTGTTAATTAGCGATTTCGAACGGAATAACAGTTAATCAAGCTTCGCTCGCATATACGTAAATCAGCCTTGCCTTAAATCGTCTACGTATTCGTTTGCTAAAGAATCGCGGCGGTATGAAACAGCGCCGGTCTGTCCTGAATGCATTTCAAAATCTTTTTCGAGTTCTCGGAAATGCATTTCTGCGGACAGCAGGCTTCCTCCGGCGACCTGCGTTCAAGAATCACTCCATTAAACAGACATTAATCATGAATCATTATCTAGAAACTCGATGTTCGCAGAACCCTGCACTAATCGCTAATTGTTTCGACATCGCAGGCATCGTATGTTCACGTTCATGATTGAAACACCCAGAAGAGCGAGTCCTAGTCAAGGTTCCTCTAATGATTTTCCGCATATTTAAGTTGTAATTTAAATATAGTTAGGAACAATTTTTCATTTCTTATTCAAATATCAAATTGCGGAACAAATGATTCCTTCCCGATTTTCCCGTTAAAAGCCATGTAGATTCCGGCACGAATTTTCTGCTGCTTTCGAACGTCCGAATAGCGCCATTCCGCGCAGTAGCGCGAAACGCTCAAACTTGTAAACAAATACCAACCGTCGAAAATTTTTTAAAAAATCTTTATTCACTTGAAATAAAGTCAGCCCGTAATCTGTAAAACTGCGGTATCTATCGCAAATTAATTTTATAAGTAGTTTCCAGTTTTCTCACGTAGATGATTTTTTTCGCACAACTTCCTGCAAATTTGACATTTTTTTTTCGATTTGCCATAGTGGCGCCACCTGTGAGAGATCTAATTTATCCTCTCTGGATAATTTTGGCGAACGGTTCTGGCGTTTTGCCACTACAAAGGTTGGCGCTACCCGAACGTTCGAAAACAGCAGAAAATTCGTGCCGGAATTTGTATTGCTTCTTATGGAAGAAGCGGCACGAATCATTTGCTGCGATATTCAATATTAGAACATAAAACTGAAAAACGTTGATAACTAATAAATCCGACATCGAATACGCGGAAGGTTATTACGAACGCTTCGTTAGAAGCCACTTCTAGAGTTTTAAATCATAAAAGCGTAGATATTATGCCGATGATGTCACAAAATTAAGGTTTTAACAAGCGTTCCCGCCGCGACAGCTAATTCGTGCCGTAGTTTGCGTTGTATTTTATGGCGAAATAGGTAAGAAATATCCGTTCACGATGCGTACAACGATTAATAAACTTTCTTTCCATGGTACATTTGCAGAAAATTCTCCCGAACATATCTAAACCCTGTAAACATTCTCTCAGCCCCACGATTACCATATTTTAGCCAAGTTTCCAAAAACAAGTTGCACTCGCGTAGAAAATTTTTTGTGCATCGAAGATATTCCGAGGATGGTGGCAACGCATTGAATTGCGCAATTGATTTTCGGCTACTCGTGTGCAACATTTTCAAGGACATTTTCTCAGCATCCCGATTTCCCGTCCTGTCGACCACGCTACAGTAATGTCTCTCTAATTGACGCTCGGATTGTCCACAAAAATGGACAATTTGGGCAGAGGAGATGCGATTATTCGAGCCTTGCGGTTCGTTTTCATAGTTACGAATTGTCAAGAAATATAAAAACGAGCTGCAAGGCTCGAATAATCATATCTCCTCTTCCCAAATTGTCCATTTTTGTGCACAATCCGAGCGTCAGTAAGGGAGACATTACTGTACAATAATGTTTCTCTAATTGACGCCCAGATTGACCACAAAACTGGCCAATTTGGGAAGAGAAGATACGATTATTCGAGCCTTGCGGTTTATTTTTATAGTTATAAATTGTCCACAATTATAAAAACGAGCCGCAAGGCTCGAATAATTGTGTCTCCTCTTCCCAAATTGTCCATGTTTGTGCACAATCTGAGGGTCAGTAAGGGAGATACTACTGTAGAATAATGTCTCTCTAATTGACGCCCAGATTGACCAAAAAAATAAACAATTTGGGAAGTGAAGATACGATTATTCGAGCCTTGCGGTTTATTTTTATAGTAACGAATTGTCAACGATTATAAAAACGAGCTGCAAAGCTCGAATCATCGTATCTCCTCTTCCCAAATTGTTCATTTTTGTGCGCGATCCGAGCGTCAGTTAGGGAGACATTACTGTATCCCGGGAACCAAAGTACCTGCGGGATCGGCAAAGCTAACAATACAGCTTATTAACATACTTGTCAATGCCCCAGTCCTGGCCGCATTCGTTCATCATCGAGAGGGCCTGGCAGAAGTCCTGGCCGACCGCTTTCAGATGTCTCGTGTCCAGGTGCAAGCCGGCCAACACGCCTTGATCGCATCCGCAGAAACTGGTCTCCATCGTGTAGCTTCTGAACAGTCGAATGAAACCAAGTGTCAGAGCGGAAGGAAGTTAAATCACTGTCGCGTATAAAGTACGCTTGAACGGGGATGGATGGATGGATCGATCGATCGTTGGAAGGATCCATCCATCGTTGCACAGACCTCGAGACGCCTAACTGCCGCCATATGGCTACCCTGGCGGTGGATTCCTTATTCCTTTCGACCTTGAACGAGCACAGTGGCAATGCGAACGCCGGGGATATCCTTTGCATGAGGTGCGGCAACATCTGAAACGCAGATGCATCAGTGGAAGACACGCGTGCGCCAATGGGTGTTTACGTGTCCCATGTGTGCACCAAATTTCGACGCTCCAATATTGCGCAAATTTCAACGTGCTCGAGATTAACCCTTAGCGCTCTCCGAAGGCTCCGCTACGGAGACATTTGTCATTTGTTCCGTAACTCCGAAGGCTCCGCTGCGGAGCCAAATGTTTTTAGCATACGTTATCGTCGGCGTTGGCAATTGTTATCTGTAGTTAAAACGTGCCAAGTCTGTACCATTACGATTAAACCATTTTTTTGACCTTTTCTATGGTTAGCAACATGGAGAAAAATAAATATTACGATGAGAATTTAGAGCCCAGCGATATCGAAGACGTGTTTGATTTTGAAGAGTTAAAAGACATTGTGGAAGACAATGTTGGTTATGATTCAGACGCTTCGAGTAGTAGTAGCGAAATTATACTACCAAAGAAACGAAGAATGAAAATTATCGAAAGTGAAAATTACATATTCCAGATAGAATACCTTTTGGTGTATTGCCACAGGTCGTTGGACCACAAGTTCCTACAAACATCGAACAGCCGATACAATATTTTAAATTATTTTTCACGGACGAATTGGTGAACGAAATTATAAAGGAAACCAACAATTACGCAGAAAATGTTCTAAACTTGAAAGAAATATCTAGTAACTCTATTTGGCAAAGTGAATAGTGTGACACTTGTCCAAGTAAACCCAGAATGCACATGGGAGATTGTTACCAAAGATATCGCACCATGGTGAATTACAGAATTTAGAATTTATCTTTTACTTACAATAGAAAAATGTATACTTATAAAATAAATAAAATCAAATGCATTCGCAAGGACGTGTAATCTTTTCCGCTCGAAATAAGACTTCCTTTATCTCGGGCGCTCCGCTCCAAAATTGCTGGTAGGCGGTACTCGAGAAACACGCGGAACGCTAAGGGTTAATATACGACGGTCGATTCGATTGTAATCGTCGGCGCATTTTCGCGAGAAAATACAGTTGCATTCGCTACGGTTAAATTCGTTTGCATTGTTCGGTCCAACCGCGTTGGATCGACGGAATCGGCACAGTCGTATCTCGTTTGCTGAAAATTGCCGGCGTCCTCGCGGCGTGGCTCGCTCGATCGTGAATCGGGCTGGGTAGATCGCGCTAGATCACCGTTCGCGATGCATCAAGCCCGGCGCGACGAGACGGGACGAGACGAGAGGAGACGCGAGGAGGCGCGAGGAGACGCGGTGCATGTGCACGGCGATGCATGGTGGATGGCGGTGGGGCGACGCGGCGTAACGCTCGTAACGCCTTACGATCTAAAAATACTACACCTAGCCGCCGATCCTCTTTCGTCCCTTACCAAATACTGCACCGGCTGGTCCGGTTTCGCCCTGTCCGCGGCGCTCCAAGAACCCGACCTTGAGCAACCGAAGAGAAACACGTTCTTCCTCCGTGAATGGCCGTGGTAGTCGACGAAAACGTGGGGAGGTCGCTGCAGCACCCTCGTGCAGTACTCCATCAGTCCTTTCGTGTGGTAGATCACCGGATGGAGCACCCGGTTCGGGTTGCTCCACCGCCTGTTCAGGTCCTCGTTAGTTAATCCGTATCGATTACTGTAATCAAATCGAAAGTGTAACTCGTTACCATGTATTCTCGTCTCGGCGAGAACCAATGGGAGCGGTCATTACGCCGCTCCCCGAGATAGGCACGATTCGCTGGACAGGGAAAAATCGGGGATTTTTTTCGTCGAGAGAAACCGGGCGCGCTCGGCGGCCCTCTTCGATCGTGTTAACCGCGCATCGATCACTCGGCGGGACCGATCCCCGGGTTTATTATCCGTGCTCGCATCGATTTCTATGGTGCAACCGGCGGCGAAAACGGAGCTTCTGGGAACTTCGGCCGAGGTCTTAGAATTCCCGGGCGGTTCCGCGACCGGTCGCCGCGGCGCACGTCGGTGGCGGGACGGAGAAAGGCCTTGTCAGAGATCGTCTTCATTTAAGGATTCAGCCGCGGTTAGAAGGACGTTTCCGGCGGCCGGAAGTCGGTCCGGAGGAAGTGACGCCTCCGCGTCGCGCATAGCTAATGGTGGGGCGACTCGCCGTGGACCCCTGACAACGACGGGGCCTTGCTACCTGTCGTCGTCGTCTTGACATTGTTTCGAGATGTACAAGCCGCCCGACACCACGAATACTAAGCACGGCCCGCGATTTCGCCCGAAATCTTCGGAAAATACCACACGCTAATCGCGTGCTGTCCCGATATAAATTGCTCGCGCGACTCGTTACGATTCGTTCGGTCATCGTTCGGAAGCTCCAAATGGTCGAGGATTACGAATTGATCGGTGCACAGCGGATCGAAACGATCGATCGATCGGCTAGAAACGAAACGAGCCAACGATAAAAATAACTCGCAATCCGGCGCGGCGGCGACGGGAAGACGATGTGTCGCTCGAGATTAGCAATCGGCGCACGCGTTCCCGTGGACAGGAATCGGCGATCGATCCTTCCGATCGGGACATCGGCCACGTAACAGAAACATTAGCAATTTGACGCCTCGTAATCGCTTCCGGCGTTTAAGGTAGTCGAAACGCGCGCGCGGTCGCGCGGCCGCGCGCGCTCGACACGTCCGAGATAGCTGCGTAACGATCGGTATCTCCTTTCGAGGCAGATGTCGGCGAATAATAAGAGCAATGCGAGGGTTTCGCGGTGACGGTGCATCCGCGGACGCATCGCGCTCGGGCGCGATCGCGGCGACGCGTACCAGCGGCGCGCGCGGACGTTCACCGGGCAGCATTCGTAGAAACCGTCGAAAAACAACAGTCATCGGAGATAATAGATTTCGTCCGGCGGCTCCGAGAGGAACGCGGGGCCCGATCGAATCGAAGAAAGAAACCGGTGGAAGAAATCGTCGAGAGCGCTCGCCGCGGCTCGATCCTATTGAAACGGAATGATAGTGGTTGCGCGCACGTTTTGCCCCGCGAACGTCATTACCGGGGGGAACGATGGACACGGAACGCTCGGCGATCCGCTAAACACGGTGCCGTTACCTTTATCTCTATTTCGAGAACCGATCGGCGCCTCGTCACGGATCCATTCGAGCCGGTTAAAAAGTTCGCGGAGGGAGGGAGGGGGGAACGAGAAACCGCCGCGACGATGGCAGTCGCGAAAGCGATATTCCCATCGCGCGACTAAGAATATTCGATTTTCAGACTTTTTACCGTTCCGTCGCGAGCACGTTGGTCCACTTTTTCAGCCGCCGCGATCACGGGACGACGGCGTTTAGCCCAACCGGACATTCCCAGGTCCCCCTAGGAACTCGCGTTCCCATCGCTCTCCTGGAATATCTGTCCCTCGCGTTCGCACGACTTCCGAGAAACGTTAACCTTCTTGCAGTCCTGCGAGCCCTATTTAGATAAACTGGAATCGCGGAAGCTCTCCGAGCGAACGGAAGCCGTGTTGGACGAATAAATAGAAAACGATACGATTCCTGGTTCGATCGCAAAAGCAGGCAACCCTCGATGACGGTGATGGTGGCGATGGTAGTGGTAGCCGCTCGCTCGCGACAATGAGACGACTGCACGACGAATTTCTCGGCTGTTTTATTAGCCAGCCGTTGTAATGGGCAACATCAGTCTGTTCGTGCTAGCAGCCGATGTCAATGACTTGAACGGAGGAGCCTTGACCGCGAACTTCTCTCACCTCTTGAGAGATCTTGTACAAATTACACTTAACCGAGCGCTCGTCCCGGGACGGCTCGGCACCGTGAGATTTTCAAAGGTACCGCCGGCGCTCCTTGCGCCGGGGCTCGTAAAAATCCAGTGAATTGCTCGGTCTGCCCGTTGCGTTGCGATTAATGAGCGACGATCGAGCGATTTATCGTCATAATTCGATCGGCCGTAAATCAACGCGCGGAACCTCGCCGCCCCGCGCGCCCCGGCTTTGTTGTCATTCCCGGGGCTGCCCCCGGCGAGCTTCCGAGCTCGCGTTCTCTCGAATCGGCTCCCGACGGACATTGCGATCGCTCGCGATGCTATTGAAACGCGTTCGCAAAAATCGCCTCGCGTGTCGGAACGGTTCGCACGCGTTCCGCGGCCCGTCGTTTAGCCGCGGGCGACGCGAGGCAAATGTTTGCAGCTAATATTTCCTCGGCCGGGACGATTCGCGCGCGCGCGAGCGCGCGTCGACGTCGGCGTTATTTGCGAGCTAACGGGCCCGTCCGAGGACAAATCCCCCGATCTCGAAACAGCCGTCTTCTCGGTCCCGTTACGCATAATTTTCGCCCGGGCCCCGGCTAATGGCGTCCCGTGGACTCGTTCGTCCGCGAGAAAACGCGCCGGCCACGACGCTTCTCGGAACGGGCGCGGAAAAATCCGCGGATCGTTCTTCGCGACCGTAAACCGGGGGCCCCCTTGGGTTGGATCCGGGCCTCCGGGCCCCTGGGAACGCTCGATCCCCGCTCGCTGCTCGTCTTCCACGTATCGAGCTTGTCTTCCGTGAACCTCTGCTTCGACTCTCTCGGCCCTATCTTTTGTTTCATCTGTTCTCGCCTCGCGGCATTTTCTCCGAGGTTATCCGCGGGTTCGATCGCGTGGAACCCGCGGGGCCCGCTCCGGTGAACCCTTTCCTCCGCCTTCTCCCCTTCCTCCGAAGCCTCCCGGTACACCCGGCGGCACCCGGATCCGACAAGAAATCCATTTCCTGCGCCACTGAAATACGAGCGTGACCGAAGCCTCCGCTCGATCGGTGCACGCCGTGGAATGGCGATCCATCTCATCGCGAGCGATTTTTCATCCCGGCTTCCAGAATGCTTCTGCAACGTGGCGAGAGGAAGAGGGAGGGGAAACGAGAGAAATAGAGGAATGGTTCGTTTATACGGGCTCCCGCTCGCCCGTCCGTTTTTCTTATTCCAGACCATTTTCATATCTCGTTTCCGCTCTCGCCTTCCTCCCTTCTTCCAACACTTTTCCTTTCTCGCACTTCGCCTCGGTTCTTTTCACTTTTTCGCCCCACTCGACGGACCCTACACTCGTTGCCCTTCTGTTATCCCATCTTCCGCACGCACTCCTCGTCTTCGTCTTCTTACACGGTTTACATTCCCCGCGCCGCCGTTCTGTTTTCTTTTGCTCCTGACGCGCACGCCTCTCTGCACGCATCTCGCCTCGCGTATATTAGCAAAATATTAGGTTGCGGAATAAGATCGTAGCGGTTTTATATTTTCTTTTATTTTACAACGATTTTTTGCTGTTCGACAAAGTGTATAATATTCGCACGATAGAGCTCTTTCTGCTCTACAAAACTGTGCTAATCCTCTTTTTGAGTAATTTAATTTTTTATTACTTTCGAGGCTTAGGAATGGAATATCCAGGAGGTAAAAAGCAACATTTTCGACACCCTCTCTTCTTCGCTTTTCATCGAGGCGAAAAAGCTGCCGAAGCAGCCCGGGACATTTGCAACGTATACGGAGAAGGTGTCGTAGGTGAGTCTACAGCAAGGAAATGGTTTGCGAAGTTCAAAAATGGCGATTTTGACGTCGACGACACGCCCCGCAGCGGAAGACCTTCTGAATTCGACGAAGAGCGTCTCGAAGCACTTTTGAAGGAGGACGGTCACCGAACGAGTCGCGAATTGGCCGAAAAAATGAACTGCGATCATAAAACGATTCTCAATCAT